AGGTTAGAGTCAGAGAGTGACTGTTGGTTTATACCTGAGTGACTTCGTGGAAACCCCGGGGCGGCTGCACCAACACGCCGCTCTGTTGTTGTCGACCGCGGTGACCCTCACATGATCTGACGCCGTCGCAGCGGGAAAACCTCTGCAAGAGTCAAACAAATGTCACAACACAATTTGACTTTTTGACACCGGGTGGCGTTGACGAAGCGTCGGCCAAATCAGAGTCAGACGTGTCAGTGCTGAAAAGGCCGTCACTGTGAATTCTGTTGTTTGGTTTCTTGTCAAAGTGTCGAGTGGAAAAAAAAAAAAAAAAGTACTTTTACCCCGTCTTTTCTGCTTTATTTGCCCCGGCCCTGCTAATGTGAGTCATCTGTGTTGCCACCAGGGCAGTTACACGACACGAGCCGTGAGTAAAAACACATTTTTCAAACTTTATATAACAACAGGCTGTTGATGCAGCGGAAATAAAGATAAAACTGTGAAAATGCACTAGTGGCTTTGACTGATTTGATTTAGATTCAGATAAAATGAATTTTTATTTCACAGTCTAACAAAAACTATTGTTATATTTTATTTCATTACTTAAATTTTATACAAATTTCATTTCAACATATGACACATTTTCCTGATTTGCTGAAGTTATTACGGTCATTTTTTTCAAATTATTGAAACCTGCTGGTTTATTTACTTATCGTCTAAAATGCAAATGCAAGTTTTAAACTTATCTTTTAACACATTGTTTTTTAAATATTTAAATTTTGTTTGTCCTTTTAAGCTAATACACATTTACTTACATTTAAACTTTTATGCTACTGTACCTTTCTGTCATATTTCTATTATTTTTATTTTAAACATCTTAAACAAGTCCAATAAATCTGTTCCTTAGTTTAGATGAAAAGCTTTATTATTTTTACTAGTCACCAGTAAAAAAAGTTTTTATTTTTATTATTATTAAGATCAGATGAAAAGGTGAAAATGGAGAAAGGGTTTAAATCTCAGGGAACGGATTTAAAGGACGGGGAGGATTTTCCTGTTTGTGTTTCTCAGTGATGACAGATAAGAACTACAAACCACTTACCACTAATTAGCATTAATATCAAATTAAAAATGTTAATTCTGTCATCAAAGGTAACAAAGGCAGGTGTCAATCAAAGCCTCGTTCCTAATCTTTATATTAAACACAGACATTTCATCCTTGTTCGATCGTTTGTCAGATATGAACGTTAGCGCTGATCTGTCTGGTTGAGTTCGCTTCATGGGAAGTTGGATTATCCTGTAAACACAACGACCACATCCGACAGAAAAACACGACCTCTGTGAAACTGGACGCTGATCGAGAATTAAGTACAAAAAAAAATAAAGCCTAGACGTCATTAATTATTCCGGTAAAAGAAGCCGGGGGTTTGCCTTCTGTTTTCCCATGACTCGATCAAAAAAGAATAATATAAAGGTCAGTGACAAACACTGCACGGGGGTCAAAGGTTAGAAACAAATGAAATGAAAACCAAATGAACTCTCATCGTTTCCAGACCGTGAAGTGAAACAAACAATTAAAAACACGTTTGTCATTTTGTGACTGACTGTAGGGATTTGAACAGGAAACAAACAAAACTGTGTCTTAGTCTCAGTCAAATATTCTGCTGTTTCTACAACTGCAAATGTCACTAATCAGTTTAATCCAAAATGTTTTTGTTCTCTTCAGTCACTTGTTGCTGCGGCAAAAATTTTACAAATTTTAACATTTTATCTACTTATTTACTTGTTTTGTTGTACGATTATGCTAACGGCTAGTTTACAGCCAGACGTTTGATATGGTTGCTAACCAATACGCCCCATAGGGGGCAGTGCTCAGTTCCAGTTTAATCCCGCCAATGTCGATCAAATTCTCGTCCCTAGTTCCACCGTTACTGTTTTTTGTTGTTTTCATTCTACAGTACTCTTATTGACCACCATGAGCTAAATGCTGCTCATTACTGCCCCCACAATTTCCCGTGGTACTGCTCTGTCTCACTCATCCATCATCCATACTGTACATCAGTATTGTTGAACCATCCTTTTCATTTAAGCCAGCGTTGCCAAAGTGGAGGGTCAGGAACCCTAGGTGGTCTGACAATGGTCCAGTCCACAAAAAGGGGGCGCTGGCTTCAACTATAGAACCAACAGTAAAAAAAAAAAAAAACAGTAAAAATACCATCGGTCCAGTCCACAAAAAGGGGGCGCTGGCTTCAACTATGGTCCAGTCCACAAAAAGGGGGCGCTGGATTCAACTATAGAACCAACAATAAAAAAACAGTAAAAATACCATTACCCTCGTGTATAAGATGAATCCAACTGATCTTGGTAAGAAAACAAGACAAAAGAAGGTTTGTCCCTCTATGATTATAAATGTAATAAAACCACGTTTACAGCGGCCTCTTTGGTAGTAAATGGCTAGTGCAACGTGATACTTCAGGCTGTTGCAGTACATGTGGTCAGCATTACTTATCCGAGACATTTTATGAAACTCTGTCACGCAGTAAATCACAGTGGTTTGGACTCTGATAGAGATCTGGTTCCTCCAGGAGACCTGGGTGAGCCGCTGCTGCTGTTTTCTCTAAACTGCAAACTAATTTAAGATAACATCTGTGGACCACGCTCGTACGAGGACAGACAGAAACGCACTGACGGAGTGTTGCTGTGGAAAAATGTAAATGTACAAGAACAACACACAGCTGTGGAAAAAAATAAGGATGTTTGAATATTTACAGAGAAAACACCATGAACTTCAGTGTGGATTTCTGTTGCATTAGAGAGACGGATCTGCTGAACTGACAAAAGAACTCGGTCACCTGCGTGCTCACATCCACAGTGTTAGATAATGATGTGCCAGACTGTAGCGTGCAGAATCTCGACCACATTCCTGGAGCTATTACAGGACAAATCCTCCTGTTCCTCTGAATGTAAATATTTAGTAATGAGGTTAATACGGTTCTAAGAGACGTCGACTTCAGACGGAGCGCTGCCTCACAGGACATGGAGCTGAAAAATGTACAACACTCGTGTTTTTAAAATACAGCTACAACTTAAAACAACCATCCATCAAACTGGATTCATGGCCGTTTCTCATGCCACCACGTTTAGCAAGACAAACAACGCGTGCCCATATCAGCTCGCCAGCGCTGACAGGTGGCTGCTGATGGTAAAGGAAGGGACGTTTCCACAAGTCCACGTTTCCTTCAAATAATATCTGGGAAATCCGCTCCAAAATATGAAGATGTTGAGAGGAAAACAAAACGAGTAGTAAAAATAAATAAATAAAGTAAATAAAGTGAAATTATTTGACATTTATAATCACCTGGTAATTTAAAGTAGTATCGAAGTTAAACTCATTCTCAGTTTGTATGGTTCAGGACATTGTCTCCACCCAGAGGATACAAGTGGTAACTAAAACATTTTAAACCACACGATTATATAAAAGTTACCGTAAGAACAATTACCTGTGAAAAAACCCATACAGTTTAAATATTTGCTCTTTCGTCTATCATTAGTAGTATTTATGGTCAGAAAAGTCCAAAACGTAAGAACAATTACCTGTGAAAAAACCCCATATAGTTTAAATGTTTGCTCTTTCGTCTATCATTAGTCGTGTTTCTGTTCAGAAAAAGTCGAAAACAGACACTGTAAACTGTGGATGACATCTCCAATGTCCACTAGATGGCAGTTCACAACTGCAGTACAGTAAGGCATACACAGTACATAGTTTTTCAACTATTTTTTCAAAAAAGGGAAGAAATAATAATAAAAAGACTTACCCTCACATTTCGAGGTAACTTATACTACATGTAGACAGATATGTTACTGAACCGGTATCGGAATTCGAATGTAACCGCGAAAATGGAAGATAAATACGTCACGTGTTTGTTTTGTTTTGTGCAGTTGTATAAATATGTTTGTGTTTCCTTCTTCTTTAATGGATTTAATGGAAACACGAGGCGGTTTATCGTCTGGCCTGAAAACTGTTTTTATCTGTTAGAGTAGATTTAGTTTTTACCATGTTGCTACAGGATTAGCCAGACGAGCCACACCGGTGCTGACGTCACCAAGGGGTGTCCTGTAAACTGCCGTTTTTAAAATATCACGCCATTATTTTATTTTTTTTAACTTTATTTTAGATTTCCAATGTCAACTAAACAACCGGTATGAGATTAATGAAACTAATGAGTCGTGGAGTGAGTTTTATCACTCGTTTTTGTCCCGCTTGTGTGACTTTAATTTTGCATTTTACATTATTTAATATACGAGAAAAAAAAGACTTCCCGCGAGACTTCATGTATTTTTTATTGTTCTGTTAATATTTGTACAAAAATCTACACACTATAGTGATGATATTATATCCTGTTTTCTATCATACAGTGTTATATACACAAGTATCGATAACAGTAAATATTCATTCAAATGTACCTGTTACACCTTAGAGATATATTCATCATTCTTATTGGACAAAAACAAGAAAGAAAGAAAAAAAATGCATCTTAGACATTATATAACGTGCTTTGTCACGTTTCAGCACAAGTCCATTATCATGAAGCACAGAACCTACAGATACAGCACGGTTTGATCGGAGTGCATCAGTCCATCAGGAGGTCTAAACTGAGGTAACTAACTGTGATCTCTGGTACTTTTTCTAAAACTCATCAGTTCATCGTCAGAGTAATGAAAATATGGCTTTCTCTAAAATATCTTTTTTTCTTCTCTTGTTATCACAAATAAAATAAAAATGATTTTGTGTGATTTTGTTTTATTTTAAGCACCAACAGTCATTCTTTTTTTCTACTGCTACCAACCTACAGGTGAACCCAGGCTAACAGACGCTAACTTTTTTTTTGTTTTGTTTTTAAATCACCTCTTTGTGAAGATTAGCTACATTTCTGTTTGATATCAATGTATTCAGATATTTGTACGACGTTGTCTATTACTGCTGTGGAATGTTTGTAAAAATATGAATGGACAATTTACATAAACCTCATATCATATATGTATATATATATATAATGTCAAACTCTTAGTTTTTTTTTTTACAGGAATGTATGTATATCTTCTGTACTGCCCCTAGTGGCCTTTATTGAGAATTGCATGTATTCCTAACACTGGCACACACACCAAGTAAAAATGCCTGTCTGTTCTGCAGACTCTAGGTAGTTGTCATTTTTTATTACAATAGAATAGTGGTTCTCAAACTATGGTAGCTGTACCACTGGTGGTCCATGTCCTCTCTGTAGTGGTCGCCACTGAATAATATGAAGGTAATTTAAGTGCCAGTTTTAGTGACACCTCATTGTCCAGTGCAACTTGTGGCAGATAGAAATTTAATTACCGTATTTTCCGGACTATAAGTCACACTTTTTTTTTCATCCTTTGGCTGGGTTTGCGACTAATACTCAGGTGCTACATATATATTAAAATATATAATTTAACGTTTGTTATTTTCACACTGACAGCCGCTAGAGGGCACTGATGCGACTTATAGTCCTGAAAATACGGTAGCCATAAACTCCCTCCCTTGTACACATGCTTGTGCTGCTGCTGTATTTGTATTTTATCTTGCTCATACAGGTAGTACGTGGAGAGACAAATACTTTTTTTTTTTAAATATGAAAACCACCGTGAGTTTGACGCTGGCAGGGTTTCATAAAACGTTTCTTTGAAACATTTCCAAACTCAAAAACACTTCATAAATCTGACGTTTCAGCGTCAGATGAAAAATAAACAAAGATTTGTTTTATTCCAGTGCATCCCTTTGTTTTCATTCCAGCATTTTTTTTAAATAAAAATCAGTCTCCTGTAGTGTTTGAACCCTCATCTCTGTGTAACATGTTATTCTGGTAATAGTTAACTATAGTATATTGTTTTGTTCACTAGTAAAGTTAAACCGTGGCCATGAACCAGTGGTTTCCTTCCCAGGACACAAACCAGGTTAGTGGTAAAGTTCTAGTTTATTTATGTTTATTTTTAAGGAATTAAACGACCGTTTCACCGACACCTGACTTGTGACAGAGGGGAGTTACATGTTACCTTGTTTGTCTGAGGAGGAGGAGGAGGTGGAGGGAGACGGGGAAGGAGCTTTAGGGAAGACCCGTTCAGTGGGGGTAATACCTGGACTACCCAGGCCGGAGGAACTGGAGCTGCTGGAGCGATGCGGTCCGTGTCCTGGCCCGATCACCGGAGCCGGTCGCACGGGCCTGACCGGCGGCGGCCGCAGTGGAGCGCTGGGTCTGCGTGCTGAAAGAGCAGGTTTAAAAGTGGTTAAAGTCTCGGAGGAGGAGGAGCTGCTGCTGCGCCGCTGGGCAGCGTCAGGGTCCCGGATCACCATGGTGTGCAGCGGGCTGCTCAGGGGGTCCTGGGCTGCGGCGGGGTGTTTCAGAGGCTCCAGAGTGTCCAGAACCACATCAGGAGCATGTTTGGCTACATTCTGTCTCTCCAGCTCCCGCAGCTCATGGAGCGCCGTGTTCATCGTTTTCTCGATGTCCTTAAAACAAATTAAATCAGATTTTAAAAAATCTCAACAGATTAGTAACTCGTAGGGCTGTGTATCGGCACGAATCTGGCGACACGATACATATCACGATACAGAGGCAACAGTACGATATACTGCGATATAATCAGCACAACCCTATTTTGAGGGGTTTTTTTAAATAATTTAATTTATTTTTACTACAGGTTTTCCATCTATCTGGTGTTGGTGTTATTTATGAAGATTTATCTAATAGTTTTCCATCTATCTGGTGTTGGTGTTAATTATGAAGTTTTATCTAATATACTTGTACTTGTTTACATGAAAACAAATGGGAAAAAACACAGACTTGTTGCTATTTATAGGTAATTATGTCATGATCCACACCCCTGGATTAGGAACAAAACATTTTCTCCTGATCAACGTCCGTCTCACCTCTGCCAGAGCTTCGGCCTCCAGAGCCTTGTGGTCGCCTAAACTTGCATGTCGCGTGGAGCTGGGCGACGACCGCTGAGAGTGGGCGTCGACGAAGGCCTTCCTGTCGGGGTGGTTGATGGAGCCCGCGCTGCCAAAGGTAGTGAGACGTCGTTTCTCCGGACTGTCTGTGATGCCTTTGCTGACAAGCAATTTGTGTGGGCTGCAGGGCCGCGGCATGACCCTGGGGGGCTGATCTGCAGCCCTGGGGGGGCTGTGAGTGTCGATGTTCCTGTGGCGAGGCACTGCCGCTCCGTCTGATCGCACTCTCACCCTAGCAAAGCAAAAAAAAAAAAGTCAGTGACCTCTACGGATAAATCTGGTCTGATTTCCTCACTCAGGTCACACCGAGGCTCACCTTCCCAGTGCCGCTCCGTAACGGTGCTCCGCTGCGTGATCACTCAGTGACTGACCGTCATTCCGAACTGAAGTTCTGTCCTCACGGTGGGAACCGCTGCTGGCCTCACTGTCCGTCCTGGGGACGCTGTCTGAGAAGGCGTCATCCCTGGTACAGACAGCAGAGGGCAGACTGAACTCTCGGACTCAAAAGCGTCAAAATGATCATATCCAAATTCACGTAATTGGTTTGAAAACTATTATTTATTCATTGCAAATTATTTTTTTCTTTATTCGTCGATGTGCAGTGACAGGAAGAACAATTAGTTGATTAAAAAAAAACAATTAATCATGTCTTAAAAATTAAGACACGATTAGAGCCAATTCGATTTTTTTTTTCATACAGAACAGTTTCTTTTACACTCATTAAATCATAACTCTGACAGAACATTGATAAACAACATATTTATCAACTTTGAGTAACTCGTCCGACTCACATGTCCTGCACCACAATGTACTGATGTGGAATCAGACCGTCCACCCCGTTGTGCCGACCCTCCCACCAGTCTTCAGAGGCCCGCAGGTACAGCAGCAGGGAGGCTCCCTTCTTGAACGACAGCTCTCGGGCGCTGCGGCCCACGTAGTCAAATTTGGCTATGGCCTCGATCTGTTCCACCTCTGCAACGGAACCGTTTACTGTTACTGTTACTGTTACTGTCTGCCGACACTCTGTTCACGTACAGCGTCACAGTCGGTGACTCACCTTCATCACTGGTGTTTGGACCAGTACCGTTGTCGACCTCATCCAGAGCTCCAGGTTCACTGTGGGGGCTTTCACTGATGACAAAAATAAAAAGATAAATAAATAAAACGATGTAGAGTAAAAAATATGCCGTTGGGGTGATACTTACCAGTACTCTTCTCCACCGGTCATGCACTTCTCATACACAGGTCCCTGCAGCTCTCGCTGTGTTGGGAAGATGACCTCGTGGTGGATGATGACGGTCTTGATGACCTCGTTCACGTGGGCCTGACAGGACACGGGGTCCTGGTTATCTGGGATGGGCATCAGTGTGGGGCCAAAGCAAATGGCCAGGTTGTAGGGGTCCATCATGTTCTCATCGCTGTACTGTGACAGACTGAAGAGGCAGAAGTTACGGCCGGTTTATTACTGTTTTCGGAGGTGGCTACGACAGGACCGACCGACCGACCGACGAGGAACTCACTGGTTAAGGAAGGCGAACAAGTATCTCATGACGATGACCACGGGTCGCTGCAGAGTCACGATGATCTGATGAAGGTGATGAGCTCGTTCTGCTCCCATGTCAAGTTCTGAAGTTAGAAAAACAGACATAGAAATGTAGAGTAAATACCAGGGAAAATATCCCTGGTAAACACAACACTTTCTGTTCACTCGTATTCCTGGAAAACTCACTGGTGGTCGATATGAAGTCAAGGAAACGCTCTTTAGGGAACAGTGAATTCTCCAGGCCCCTGAAGTAGAGCTTCAGAACGCCGGCCACAGAGTTGATGTCATGATCAGCCTGATCATCCACCAACGGATCCTCTCCTACACACACATACACACACATTAAAAACCCCGGTCATTTCACACACACACACACACACATTAAAAACCCCTGTCATTAATCACTTAGTGTCATGAAACGTTGCCACTGATGAATTTCACGATACATTTGACTTAAACAGCCTGGTAGTTCTGTTTCATGGTTAGATAGAAACCCTATGTATTATTCATCTCCAGGGGTTCACATGCACATTAGCGGAGAACATGTGACGTCCCGGCTCTTTAGCTGCACTTTCCAGCCCAGCAGGAGACACTGTGGCTTTTGAAGTGGGTAAAACGTGATTTAAAATCAATCCAGAAATGAGGGCAGAGCGTTCTGGTACCAACCTCGTTCAAATGCATTTTTAATATCATTGACTTCGACCTGGGAGCCTGGAACTCGAAATATACCCTGCTGCTGCAGACCTGTGGAGAGAGCATAAATCTGAGGTCATCGACATCACACACACACACATACACACACACACACGGTATAAAAAGACACAACCATTACATTCATTTATGTGGTGCGTTTACAGGAAAAGAAAAGCCGTCGGTGATAATAAATAAACCAGGTTATAATAGAAGTCAAAGAGCAGCATTAGCTGCAGAACATTACTGTATCACAGCATCTAATGGCCATGGCATCTGTGTTTACAGCACCCCCTGCAGGGGAGTAAGGGATTTGTTAACGGTCAGTGAGAATTCCTGTAGCGACTTCTTGAAGTCACACTTTAAAAACGATCTAAATTCCTGACACATCTGTGTATTTTCTGTTATCAGTTAATTATGAGACCCAGGTTGTCAAACATACGGCCCGCGGGCCAAAACCGGCCCTCTGGGAGGTTCAATCCGGCCCGTTTAAGGATTTTTGAAAGCAAAAAAATAAAAAAAATAAAATGCACAAACATTACCTACCGTACAGATTGATGTATCGGACGCAGCTCTCCACCACCACTGGTATGGCCTGACCCGAGTCCTTCGCACCAGAAAGAGTCACACAGATATACATTAATTAAAAAAATTACCAGTCAAACTGGAGTAAATTAATCTAAAATAAAATGGAATAAAGACAGGAGAGCAGGTGTGAGCGCTAAATGAATGAACTTTAGAGTCATTCATGTGATGCAGTGACTAGAATGCCAGCAGGACACGGGCACAGAGGTATGTGCTGGTTAGCAACTAGGGCTGCAACGAATGCTTCTGTTCACAGTTGAGAATCAACTGAGTTGTTTTAGCTTTGAGTTGTTTTTCTATTGAGGAAACTGTGGAAATCAATCAATCAGAGTTGAGGACAAAGAAACCAAAACAAATCTGAATCTGTGGACTATCAAACACACAGTGGTTCATCAGTCGTCCATTGGTTGCAGCCCTAAGGTGAAGTGAGTTTAGTGTGATGAACCCATCCCGCTGTGAGACTAAGTACCTGACTCCTGGCACGGACATTCCTCCTCCCTCTGGGCACAGAGCAGTAAGGCACGTAGACAAAGGAAGAGAGGCAACAACAACAACAACAAGAACAGAACCACAACAGGTTAGTAGGAGGGCGAGAGAGAGTGAGAGAGAGAGTGAGAGAGGGGGGGGTCTGGGCTGAGAGCAACGCCAAAGCATCGTGGCTAAGGAGGGAGACGTGAAAGTGTTTATCGGGGAGGGGGGGGGGATGCTAATTAAGCATTTTTTCAAAGCTGAATCCTACTGTTGCACTTTTTTTTTAAATTTTTGTTTTTGGAAATAGTAAATACTCCTGACATGAATTTACTGCCCCCTTATGGCTGTGTGTATATTTGGAAACACGGCCAAAAAAAAATTCTCTCTCTGAAGGCTGACGTTTGTTGAAAGTCAAATCCATGTGGTGTAGTTTGTTAAAATCCAACCACTGTTTCGTCAAATTTAACTTTTCTAAAAAAAACAAAAAACAAATGAAGGCAAGGAAACGAAAAAGACAAGGCAAGTGAAGGCAGTGCAGGGGTGAGGCAAAATCTGGGTAGAAGGGTGGTCAGAAGCCAAGAGAGTCCCCCAGGTCCACGGACAGACAGAGCACAGATGGCCGGTACCTGAATGAACGCCTCCAAATTGCCGTTAAACAGCTTATGGGTAAAAATGGAGCGAGGTCTAGACTTCCGCATTCTCTGGGGTTTAGGGGGAAGAGTGGGGGGCCTGGGGAGACGGTGGGGTGGATGTACGGTTGGTACAATTCAAATGAATGAATTATTAATAATGCAGATGCACAACTGAAAAGTACAAACGTTTGTGACACATCGCAGTGAGAACAAAGCAGAACAGTTGGTACATTTCCATAATCTGTCAGTTCCTAACGTCCACCTCAGTCTGGACTCAGTCGTGTTTCTGCACAACCTTTTAGCATTTGGCTTAAAACAGTCTCAGGAAACAGTATTTAATACAGTAATCCTTCGACCAAGCTCCAAAAAAATAATATAGTTTATTTACCGAAAGAAAATAAATAATAATAATAATAAATATAATAATTTCCTCCTCCTTTTCTTAGTAAAGACCATTTTAACTAATTTGCAAAAAAAATTAGTTTTTCTTTTTTCAGCGCAGCGCTAGTTAGTCAGAAAAGACGATTTTTACCTTAGCTTAGGCTAATTCGATGCTAAGTATGCTAAGCTAACTAGCTTTGATTTTTCAGTACTTAAACTGTAGTTTTGTTAGCATGAAAGAGCTCATTTGTCATTGTGACAGCTCTCCTGTCGCAATCACGTGGATGATAACGACTGTGAGACATAATCATTGAAGAAAAATGATTATCTGACTGCATTAAAAAAAGTAAAAATGACAGAAATGTGTCATTAATCATGTGAACCTGACCGGTCAATACCTGTTATTCTGTGGTGAAACATCTGTCTCTCTGACGTTTCATTTCTTAGTTTTAATAGATTCAGGATTTAATATTAAAATAGAAAAAAAAACTCCTAAACTGTCAACTGTCCCCAGTCTGAGAGAAGAAATGAAACTAAACTTTCTTTCCACACAAACAGATCAATAATCATCACTTTGTTTATTTTAACCTCTCTGTACACCTTACCTGGTTGTTCCATATTCAGCCCTCTCTCCTAAAAAAAAATAAAAAAAAAAAATTTACAAAAAACTCCACGTTTACAGTCACAAGTCAGCGGCACGGTTGGGTGTTCAGTGACTAAACATGGCCAGCAGATGGAGACATATAAGCCTATCAGGAGAAAACATCAACTCGGTAGAGGACTCACATGGCTGCATTTGACTCACTGCCAGTGCAGTGGTCATTTAGCGGTCACCCTAGAAACGGCACCAGAGCCCCAGGAGGGCAGGGCCAGTCTACTGGCTCTGTGGGGCAGAAACGTAACCAGGGGCAACAATGGAAGGAGGCTGGGGGAGCTGCTCTGTAGACTGTGATAATCTCATACGATCCGCTCAAACGGCTGAGGCCTCACATTAACTCAGGAACCGTTTGTCTAGAAACACTGAACACAGTTCACCCAGCTGTGAGGAAACTGCCTCAGGGCACGGAAACTGCCCCAGGCCACGGGAATAAACACCAGGACATGGAGCTTCACTGGCATTTGAGGAATTATTTTTCCTAACCTCATTTTTTCCCCCCATAATTTTCTCCTCTCATCTCCTCCTTCCTCGTCTGTATTTGATTGCACTTTTGAATCTTTCATTGTTTTTATCTGACGTGTCGATGTTGTCATCTCATTTCATCTAATTTTTTAATTAAAATTTTCTTTCAATTAGATCAATTGTTATAATCTTTATATCATTTCTGCTGTGGCTATTTTTCATGATTTTTATCATGTTTTTTTTTTCATCTCGTCTACATGTAATTTGCAGTTTATATCCTTTTTTTATACCAAAAAAACCATATATAAGTCACGCTGAAGTATAAGGCACACTAGTGCCCTCTAGCGGCTCTAACGTTTGGTCAACAGAACTTGGTGACTTTGTCTCACCTTCTCCCAACGTCTGCTTCAGGAGGTCGTGCTTGGCCTGAAGCTTCACGATCAGGTTGCTGCCGTTCAAGAACTCCTTGTATTTCTACGAGTGAAGCGCAGAAAGTAAAAAACCACGTCGTGGTTTTTAACGTTCTCTAGTCCGGGTTTGTCCAAAGACTCACTGAGAAGTAGAAACCCTCCGTCTCCTGCTGATTGGCTCGTCTCTTGGTGATGTTGGCCTTGCTCATGTAGGAGTCGGAGGAGGCCGACTTGACCGACTCTGTGGACTGGCTGTGCTGGAAGGCCTCGGAGACGTCGAAGTCCTCCACGGTCAACATGTCCTGCAGGGTCTGCATGGTGGCGTCGAGGGTCTTCCTCACCTTAGAGTGAAGCAGCACCATGACCATCACCAAACAGTTCTACGGTTCTACAGGAACATCCTGAGTCGTCACCACAGCAGTTTGACTGACACACCGTTAGCGGAGTAATTCACTTCCTGTCTGTGACGTGAATGATTTAATGGTTTCCTTTCCCTCCGTTCTTAACAGGAAGTGAAGGATGTACTTCACTACTAATGACTGACAGGAAGTGACACGTTCTGAGGAACCTGAGTAGGTCTGGGGTGAATGAAAAGCTGAGAGAACGATGCAGCTGCTCTGCCATCGTAAAAAAAAAATTCAAAATAAAACATCTTCTAGACTTTTTTCTGTTTGTGTCAGAGTCCGAATGACCTTTGACCTGTTGTTTTGAAACATTGAAAAATTATCTTTGAATGAAAACAGTGAAGGGATATGACTGGATTCTTCTAGAATGAAGTACATTAGTAAAACTGAAGTACTTTTTCTTTTTTCTCCCACTGTGACCGGTTACCAAATGACCCACGGACCGGCACCTGCCCCCAGACCAGGGGTTGGGAGCCCCTGTTCTAACGACCACATTAGCAGCGTAACTCACCTCCTCGTTTTCTATCTTCAGCGTGGCCAGGCGAGACTGCAGCTGCTGGTAGCGCATCAGCAGTTCTGTCTGAACCGGCTGCTGAGCGCTCACCTGACACACCTGGGACGACAGAGGCCCGCGTTCGTTACCATCCTGATTGAACGTCATCAGACTCAGACAACAACTGTCCGTCCGGCGACTCACCTCGTCGCCCATGTGAGGCTGGTAGTCGAAGCGTGCCGGAGGACAGAAGATCTGACTGTGCGTGTCCATAAACTTCAGCTTGTCCCCTCTGATGTCCATCGCATCTACGGCGCCCTCTAGGAGGTCCAGACCCTCATGACGGGAAGTCTCCAGGCTGTACTCAGCAGACAGGTAGGTTCTCATGGTGCGAGCCAGGCTGGCATGAAATCCCAGGTCGCAACACTGAGAAGGAAGGAAGAAAAACATGATCATTATCGACCGGTACCGATTCTGCAGAGACGGTTCTGGGACAAACGGATGTTCGACATCGACATCAGAGTGCATTAACTCACGTCTATCATATCTGAGACATCGTGGATGTAGTACTTGGCCACCAGGGCGTTGGTCGCTGCCAGATTGAGGAGATAATCGTTGCGGGCCTTGGTGCACTTCAGCTTGTTCTCCGAGTACTTGGCCTGTCTCTGGAGTGGGACGCAGCATTAAAACTGGATTATGTTAAATGGATTTCCTAATGCATCAAAGAATGCATTACAATGATAAACACATTTAATCTGATATGATCGGCCCATGTCACGCTAGCACAGAGAACGACGGCTCTCACAGGAAGTCGTTTTTTACCGAACACAGAGTTAGATCTGACTGGAATCATCATCAGTACCAGAACTGACCTTCTCCTTCATCTTCTCCATTTTCTTGACGGAGCTCCGCCGTTGTGAGCGTTCGTCGTGACCGTACCGCAGCAGGCCGGCGCTGATGTCGTTGGTCTTGCCGATGTGCTTTTCCTCCTGTTTTTCCGCCTCCTTCAGTTTGTTCTCGGCGCTGAGACTCTCGCTGTGGTACATGTGGTAGGTTTTCATCACCTGAGGGTTAACGCAACAGAGTCAGGGTCTGTTTTTTTGAAAAAAAATTTTCTTGAAAATTTTTTTTTTGAAAAAATTTTTCGAAAAAATTTTTTCTTGAAAATTTTTTTTTGAAAAAATTTTTTTTCTTGAAAAAAATTTTTATGAAAATTTGTTTTCTTGAAAATTTTTTTTCTTGTAGTTGTCTCATGATTTCAGTAGTTGCTACAGCAAATGATTGATTTCCATCTCTCCCTGTTCTCTGCATCTCCTACTCTGACTCCAACTATCTGCATGTCCTCCCTCACTGCATCCATATATCTCCTCTTTGACCTTCCTCTCTTTCTCCTACCTGGTAGCTCCATCTCTAACATTCTTCTACCAACGTATCCAGTTGTCCCTCCTCTGCACATGTCCAAACCATCTCAATCTGGCTTCTCTAGCTTTTTCTCCTAACCTTCCTGTCTGTGTTGTCCCTCTAATGACCTCATTCCTGATCCTGTCCAGTCAGACCGACAGAAAAAAAAGGTGAAGTTGAGGCGAAAAGTTCGACTCAGGTCTTGAATCCATGAAGTTCAGACGTAGCTCCGCCCCCTCTCCTGCTTCAGGGTGTGAACAACAACATGGCCGACATCGGGTGAATTTTAATCCACTCTGTGGCAGCAGTTTCTACTGTAACAGCCCGGGTTGAGTTACACGGTGCTCTGTGTCAGGGAACGAAGACTTGACCTTTGACCTCTCCACTGCATCACTGACTTCCTTCTTCTTAACATCAGAACAAAACAACATATATACCAATCTAATTATGTACATTTAATATGTAACTGCCCATGTGGCGTGTACTACTTCAAAGCCTAATGGTACATTTGTACAGTACTACAGTAATACTTCTGTGGAAAAAACTGATGACGGGCTTTTAATAATGGATGGATCCACGAGTGAGAAAAAAAAAATCAATATTAGCAGCGCAGCAAAGTGCAGTATGATGTTACATGTAAGGATTTCTTTCCTCATGTAGTACAGTACAGTACTGCATGTACAAGAGTCAAAGACAGGAAGTACATTCTGAAGTTAAACACATTTATTCTCCTTATCTTATCCATCTCGGAGTAATTTGATTATTTAGTATTATTATATTATTAGTGGTAGTTGTAGTAGTCGTTGTAGTACCGTATTCTCTGGACTATAAGTCGCACTTGGTTTCATCCTTTGGCTGGGTTTGTGACTTATACTCAGCTGGGACTATAATTTTATATGTTCATTTTTTTTCCACACTGACAGCCGCTAGGGGGCACTCTAGGCTTGTGTACCAGTATCTGCTACTCCTGTACCACTGAAAAATACATGTTCGTTATTGCTAGAGGGCACAGTTTTTGTCTTTGCTAGAGGGCACTGGTGTGACTTATAAATGTTTTGTTCTTCTTTATTGCACAGTTTTTGTCTGGTGCGACTTGTAGTCCAGAAAATACGGTATTTGGTCACAGTAGCAGATACTGGTACACAAGCTTAGAGCGCCCTCTAGCGGCTGTCAGTGTAAAAACAACTAACATATGAAATTATATATTGTAATAAATGTGGCGAACCCAGCCAAAGGATGAAGAGAAGTGTGACAATACAGCACTCAGGGATTTATCCCACATCGTTGCCTTGAGTTTCTGAATCCAAATTTAGCGTCGACGTCTTTCTCTTCTAACTTTAGATTTGTCAGAATCGTGTTCTGCTGAAGACTGCGGCGTACAACAATACATTCCTACAGTGACTTTCTTTTTTTTTCTGCCCCTCTGCAGCATCGACTGCTGAGTCTGCCTGAAGGTGGTGTCAAAAAGCTCCTTCACTTCAGAAACTCCCAGCAGGAGTAAGAACGTGGATGTGTTCCTGTCCTGACCTCAGGAGACTGAACTGCTGAGAAGGCACATCTGCTGAGAGCAGCGTCCGACCAGCTGCTTCACCGGTCACAGATACGACGACCGTGTCAACGCCGTCCTGTACTTCACATTTGGACCTGTAGGCTGCACTCTATGTGACTTAAAGGGTGACACGATCTTGACCTTGAACCAACCAACTCTTTTGTGAAGTCAAGAAAAGTTTGACAGGATGCACTGCAAATACTAAATACTAGAGCACAGTTTGTACCCAGCTAATTCACCTCATTGCTGCTAAACGTGCTGCTAGCACATTGCTAACATGCTACAGCGGACATGCTACCATAACAACAACACGCTACAGGCGTTTTTTTTTTAAAGTAAGTGGAAAATCATTCACATCCAAATGTTTTCTGTAATTTATGAGTTTGTTTGTTTTTTATCAAGTCACAGTCAGTACAAGAAATAAGTTAAAGTCGACTGACCAACAGAAACAGACGGTTGTACTCACGGTGTAGAGCTCGTTGGTGACTTTCACCAACTCTTCGTGCATTTGAACTCCGATGTCTTTGCTCTGTGAAGGAGAAAACAGTTTTCATTTCAGACTGTAATGACAGATAAATCACAATTTGGAAATCTTGGCCGAGATATTTTCCTCTTTTTTTGGGGGTAATAGATACGTCAGAGACACAGGAAGTGAAATGCTGCCGTTACACTGCACCAGAGAAGGTGTTATACAATAGGCAGAGCAGACAGAAATAGAAAAGAGCAGCAACTGCAGAGTGGAAGCTTTAGCTCAGTTACAGGGAACAAGATTCAGCGATGAAAACAACACGTCCTGCGACAGAGTCACCGCCCGCTGGAGATCGGCAGAGAAAAAATCCTCTCTCGCCCGCTGGAGATCGGCAGAGAAAAAAAAATCCTCTCCGGACGACAGAGGCCGTGCATTTTTACGATGCCGTTCTTGCAGCGGTCTTTTAGATTCGAATCAACGTGATCGTGCCGCAGGGGAAATTTCAGTCCGTCTTTGGAAATTCTTCATTTCCCAACAACACAGACTGTGTTTCTGGTGACGTGCCACGGCAGTAAATAAATGCAGTAGGAGACAGAGTTTTCCTGCAGGCGGTTGTTGAGCCTCGGTGTCTGTGCTGCTGCTGGACCGTTCCATTCTCATCAAGACTTTCTTTGTGACAGCCCAGAGCCCCCTAGAGGGCATAAATTACACCGGACTCCTGCTGCTGTTAGATGATACTGATCTATGATCCTCGGGGCAGATTCTTCAACTCGGTCCATAAACCTTAGAACCTTCACTGCTTTAAAACGGACCGCGCGCTGATGGGACGGTTATACAGTCGTATTTATCTCAACTGAACAACAGATAGAGAGATATAAACCGATATTATATGGTGGTGCAGTGGTGCAGTGGTGGTGTTTATCTGAACAAACCACTGTATGAGTTCCTGGCACCAGCATTCTGCAAACAAACCCCTGATTATTAGAATAGATTAATAAAATGAGATGCAATGCTGCCATCTAGTGGCTTTCACTTTCATATACAACCGTTTATCCCCAAAACTATTTTAAGAGGATACAGCCGTTCATCCCCAAAACTATTTTAAGGGGAACACATCATTTGACGAAACCCAGGTATTGCATTTTCAGTTTCATTACCAGAGGAAAAAAAAAACGATAACGATTCTTACCAATATTACATAATTATGCTAATATCGATCGGGCGATATTATCGGACATCCGGTTTAAGTCGACTGTTAGCGCGGCTACATCGGTGACGCTCACTGGGGAAAATCCACTTTATTCACATTCTGACCTTTTTGAAAAGTCTGATGACATCCTCGCCCACGTGGGCCAGACGGACAATGACGTTGTTGTTGTAGATGTCACTGAGAGTGGCGTGGTCTCTGCTCTCCCGTCTGGTCTGCTCCAGGACCAGATACCAGCAGTTGACGGTGGACAGGAGGTTCTGGTCCTTTCTGAGGAAGAAATTAATAAAAAAAAAATTTTTTAAAAATCTGTGAAAATGTATATTTTGTTTCCTTCCTGAACAGCTCAGGCTGCTCGTACGTTAAAGCAGCTCTAATTGTTTGATGAATATTCGACTGACGCTGACGACGACGATGACTCAGGACGTGGAGCAGCGGAGGCCGAGATCCTCACAGAGAAAACCGTTTTTCAGGGTGAGAGTCTTTGCCAAGGTCGCGGCCTAATTACGATTTGAAAAAGTCCATTAACTGTTGGACAACGTAGATAAAAACGTCCTCAAAGGTTCGTCGTGTCTCATGATTCTGGACAACGTAGATAAAAACGTCCTCAACGATTAGTTTTTAAACGTCTGACTCGTGTTTCTGTTGAGTCTTAACACAAAACTGAAATTTGAAAATGGCTTTTGTTGTCGGTTCAAAAATCAATTAGAAAAAAGCTACAGAGACAACGTGGACATTTGGTCAGGTGTGATTATTAGTGACATCAGAGCTGCGGGGGCAGAGGTTCGACTCCAACTGTTACACTGACGTCCAGTTGACCAGACATGAGGACAGAAGGATTATTAGTTATACAATAGTATAATATATGACATCATTGTTATATATATATACAAGAAAGACATATATGTACATATATAACATATATGTATATATTTATGTGTGTTTTTTTTACCATAAATTCAATTTTAGTCTTAGTCGTACGTAAATGTCTTAGTCGTATGTAAATATAAATAATTTTTTGGGGGTTTTTTTAGAGTCAACTTATTCAAATAGTGGCCCACAGACAACTTCAGAGTGGTCCAGTTTGGCGCCCCCTCCAGCCTCCAACCACAATTACACTGAAAACTGTACAGCCCAAACGTCAGGCTCCAAGTCGATAAGTTCAGTTTATGGTCGGAAACTCTGTCCGCACTGAATTTGAAACTGAATAAAAACCAGTTTTAGAGAATTATTATTTGATAAACATCTGTGACAGAAACTGATTCATATCGTTGTCCTTCCTCTGAACCACAGACGACTTCTGTTTTACTCCCTGTGTGAAACCAAGACGGGGGTTTGTGTTTGATA